CTTCCTTTACAAATCCGTTTTTTCGTCTCACATGTCGTGACTTGCAGGGGTGGCTAGAGGATGTGGTTGGCAACACATGGTTGTGGTTGTAAACTTAGCTACATTCTATCTTGTTGGTATCTCAACAGCAGTCTTTCTGGAATTCAGAATGAAGCTTTATGCCACGGTAAGGATTCAAATGGTTCGTTTTTTTTCGAACGAACACGGAAATTCTAAGACTAAAATAGGATTTAAACGTTCAAATTTATCGAAACTTATCGTATAATGTGTTATGGTGCAGGGGTTGTGGATTGGTTTGATCTGTGGCTTGTTATGCCAAACTTTGACACTGTTGATATTAATAGTTCGTTCAAAGTGGACAAGAATTGAGCTGTCTGATCATGGAGGTAAGCAAAATCCAGCTTTGACTTGATTCTTAGCTGCAATAACTATGATGAGAATAAACTCAAATTTGAATCCTAGAAATGTATGAGCTGGATTTTGATTATTTAGTGGTATTTGGGATTATAAAGTTCTTATTTTAGGTTTATTTAATTTAATTCCGTTCCCCATTTCCCCTTGCCTCGAGCTCGAGCACCAGTCCTTTTCCTGTGAGTCGTGTGAGATTTCACATTAGTTAGAGAGGAGAACGAAACATTCCTCATATGGGTGTGGACGCGTTTTAAAACCGTGAGACTTGTGATGAGACATAACGGGCTAAAGCAGACAATATTTGCTAGGGGTGGACTTGGGTTGTTACAAGTCGGCTTCAAATCGTTTGTCCTATGCTCACTCTAACGGGCTAAAGTGGACAATATTTACTAAAATGGACTAAAGAAGACAATATGGACTTGGACGGGCAACCCTATACTCGTATTAGATTATAATGTTTTAACCAATCAAGTTGGATAATAAAATAAAACATTCCCATTTTAAGGCCAACCAACCAAATTTTATTTGACTTCCAACATTCTAAATTTAGAGTTCAAATTCTTGGGCTAATCTGCCCCTGCTGCCTGCACCACACAAGCTCTCTCCAGCTCCTGGCCAACGACCTGAAACAGCCAACCCTTCTCTTCAACCTATATAAATCAACCAAGGGCGGAGCCAAGAAAGAAACAAGAGAGAGCAACGACGACGATCATGAACTCAACTAAATCAACACCGAGAAGGGTTCTGATCGTCGTCACGATGATGGTTGCTCTTAGCATCGTCGTCTTGCTTCCAATGGCAGCGGAGGCGACTGTCCCTGCCGGGGGTGCAGTCTCTCAATGCATCCAGGGTTGCACAAAGTCATTGGCCGGTTTAACGGCTGGTTATTGCCTTACTCTTTGTTCAGCTGAGTTCCACCCTCTATCCGCTCACCCACATCATCATGAACAGGATCATAGCCATGCTCATGTTCGTGTTGATGCTCATGCTCACGTTGATGATCATGGTCACGTTCATGCTCATGTTCATGCACATGTTGATGGTCATGGTCATCTTCATGCTCATGTTCATGCTCATGCGCTTCATTAGAGTATGGTGCATTTTCTTCATTCCCATTATTAAAGACGACTTTCATGTTGTAGCCATCTGATTTGCCTCTCTTCATGTAAGCTCTTTGAAATACCCATTTGTTCTCATTCTCGGTTGCATTCTTTCGTTTATTTAAAATATTTTTCTAGACTCGAGTTTGAAGAATACTCTCTCCATTTATACGAGGCATTTTGGGAAGCCCATAGCACAACCACGAGAGAGCTTATGATCAAAGTGGACAATATCATACCATTGTGGAGAGTGAGTTCGTCTAACATGATTTAGAGAAATAATTAAAATTTTGGATATGAAAGCAGGAGATTGGAAAAGGTTAGTAATTTAATATATATATTTAAAAGACAAAATAGTATAAATAATAAAATCTAAAGTTATTGTTATTTAATTATTTGCAAATGATGATTTCCAATAATTATTAAAATAAAAAGTGAGAAGCAAAGTTAAAAAGAGCCAATATTTTAGTTGACATTTAAATACTTTGACCATAAAAAAATAATAAAACATTATGTAATTATGATTTGTAACAACTCCTAAATAATTTCATTAGGTTATAATGTAACTACTTAGGTCATGGGATTATGGTTTTGAAAATTTCATGTTATTATTTGGCTTTCACATCTTGAATTTATCAATAATCAATTAAAAAATAGCCATTTAATTTAATTTTAAATAAAATAAAAATAGCCCTTCAACTTAATTTTATAAATATTTTATTTTTATTTTTATCTTTTTCAAACGGGTTTGATTGGAGATTTTGTATTCGGATTGTTTGAGAACTCGCGACCTCTTCCCAATTGATTATGACTAGATCGAGATCAGAAACTAATTGAGCCAATTCTAATTTGATTTGCCAGCCATTTGTTTCATGGCTTTAATTTGAGCGGCAGATTAATAGCAGATCTGATTCAACATTGAATAAATCGGCAGATAAGAATATTTGTCATCAGTAATGGAAATTACATTAGTAGGAATATAAGCTGAAACATCTCCCGATTGGGTCTCAACTATTGGTAAACCAGTCATACTTCCTTCCACTAAACCAAAACTTGATTTAGTGGCTAAGTATAGTTTGATTTAAATTTATTTTTAAAATAATATAATAAAAGTTTTAAGCCAACGCTAGAGAGAACGAATCAAGTCACTGCTAGCTAAATAGAGTCGAGAATGAAGATTATATTTTGTCTCTAACCTGACCTAAATTTTTAACTCGTCTCACCTCACTTTTTATATATAAATATGAATATATTAAAACTAATATATAAAATTAACTTATTATATATAATATATATTAAAAAAAATACTTTTTTCAAGGGGAGATGACGGTAATATTGAAATTTTCAACTCATATTATTGGATTTATTATAATATTTTATTTTTTTTAAGTAAATTATATTATAAAATGGAAATTAAAAATTATTCGAAGACATTAAAATGGAAAAAACTCTGCACATGGAACTCGATCTCCGAGAATTATTCACAGAGAATTCTTGCCACCGATTGATTTTGCTAAAACAAGAAGCGGGGACAGGCATAAGAAAATCTTCTCCATTCTCGCTTCTCGAACAAAAACAAAGAGTTTAGACGTGGCCCAACTTATCAAGATCCTGATCTCGAGAGATTACAAGCTCCTAATATCGACATTGGAGTTCTCACATAACACAAGAATGAATAGACATGGCATGACGATATTTTACTCCTTGTTTAGCCACATCAATAAAGATCAATCCCCACTTTCTTTGTCTCTTCCATTGACATGTTGCTATCATCCATGCAAAGTCTTTCCGAAAGAGTAACACTCCGACGTATTAAACCTTCTAATTTTAAAGGTCGAGTTATAAGTTCCTAAATTTTTAAGTCGTGTTTAAAAGGGTTCTCAAATCCCGATTGTATATATGTTATGTTCACAATATAGTTTAAAATTTTAAAAATTAACGGCGAGGATTATTGAGGAGTAGTTTCACATTGACTAATTACGATGAAGATCGAAGGAACACTATCATCATTGCTACGAGGACTTTTGAAAAAACGATAAGAGCTAATGTTTAAAGAAAGCCTGTGATTCTACCATGAACTTTAAAAAATATTAAAGAAAACAATCAATAATTTATTAATTTTAATAAATCTAACTTTTTGAATATTATTATTTAAATAATAGAAAATTAAAGGATGTTAAAGTAAATTAAAGACATGTTCATAGTGAAATTAACATTAATTAAACCAAATATTTGGTTAAAGAGATTCCTTCGTTTCTACTTTATGGCCTTTTGTAATTTTTTTAGGAAAGTAATTTGATTCTTTTTGTCTTTTGTAATTTTTTTAATGATTTTAGTTATAACTTAATTCTAAAAATAATTAAGGACAATTATTTTTAAAATAAATAATAATCTCTTAGTTCAACTAAAAAATGATAATAATATTATTAATTCTAGATATTAATTTCGCTCAATAATAAAATAAATGTTATTATTATTTAGATATTACTAAAGAATTATAAGATTTTTTACCTAGCGATGAAATTATGGTTGTCGTTGACATGACAGTGTTTTCACATGTTTATAAGTGTCACCGACATAAATAACGAATCAATATTTTTAGATTATTATAAAATACCGATAAATAATTGATAAAATTCACGTGGATAAAACTATTATACCAAATTAAAAAATATATATTTATAAACTTAAAAACACCCAAAAATTAATAGATTAAAAATACTATTTTGGTTTTTATTTTATTTTTTATTTTTGTATTTTCAAATTTTATTTATATTTTAATAAATTTTAAAATTCGCAGTCTATTGTTATTTAAAAAATATCCTTTAACTTTTAATAGCATTTAAAAAATATTTTCGGACTTTACAAAATTTATTTTAAAAATATCTTTATTAGTATTATTTAAAAAATACTCATAAAATTTTAAAAATATCATTAAACCGTTTATGTTTATAAAAAAGTTAATATTTTTTTTACCATTTATTGACATCTCATATATTAGTTTCCAACTTCTCTTAAAAGTTTATGAATATTTTTGAAATCCTCGAAAGTCTAAGGGTATTTTTAAAACAAAATATTAACGAGTTTAAAAGTTGAAGAATATTTTAATTTTAATTTTATGTCTCGTAGATCATAATAATTAAAAGAATAATTTATATAAAATTGAATTAATTTTGGGTGAAATTTTCCCAACTAAAAATTTAATAATTCAATAAATTTAAAATTTAATAATTATGTGAAAATAGGGAGAAAATTAAATCCCCTGTCAAGAGCGGTAGGAAAATAAAACAAAATCCAGGTGGTACAAACGGCGTCAGAAATAAGTAAAATCCAAAATTAATTCTGAATTCAAAACCCTAAGCTGTTGTAGGATGCAGCCACGTGTACGGTCACCATTTTCCCTTCATTTACCGACACGTCGTTACACTCTCTTCAATTGTCGACATATCGTTCCACTCACTGCCGTGCCTTCTTAACCATTTTCTCCTACGCGCTTTATCCCCATTTCCCCACCCTGCAACGGTCACCATTTCCGCCTTCTATTTATCTCCTCAGTCCTTCATCTCTCTACCTCCAACCCCTTCTCTCTCTCTCTTAAACCATTTCTCTCTCCATTGGCTATGGCGTCTCTCCTCTGTCTCTGCATTCTCTTCTTCCCCTGTTTTCTCTCTGTTTCTCATGCTTATACGTTCTACGCCGGTGGAAAGGATGGGTGGGTTCTCAACCCCTCTGAGAGCTACGATAATTGGTCTCATCGAAACAGGTTTCAGGTCAATGATGTTATTGGTGAGTTTAGCTTTTCCTCTGATCAATCTGTTTTGCTCTGTTTTTGGTTGATTTCAGGGCTTTGCTCTGTTTTTGGTTGATTTTAAATTGGATGTTTGATCTGTGTTTGGCAGTGTTTAAGTATGCGAAAGGGTTGGATTCTGTGTTGGTGGTGAGTAAAGAGGGTTATGAAAAGTGTGATTTGAAGAATCCGATTATGAAATTGGAGGATGGGAATTCGGAGTTCAAGTTTGATCGCTCTGGGCCTTTTTATTTTGTTAGTGGCAAACAGGGGAGCTGTGAGAAGGGCCAGAAATTGATGGTGGTTGTGTTGGCTCAGCGCCCTCCTCCGCCGTATACGGTGGGAGCCCCACCACCTTCTGGAGCGGCGCCGTCCTACTCGCCTCCGGTTTTGCCTTCTCCTCCTCAAGCTAAGCCGCCAGGAGTTTCTCCCTCACCGCCGTCTGGTTCTCCTGGAGCCAAATCGCCTTCTGGTTCTCCACCATCGGCGACACCCATTTCGCCGTCTCCACCGTCGGGAACACCCACTTCGCCTTCTCCATCTGGGTCTCATTCTCCGGCGCCATCAGGTTCTCATTCTCCCGGTGGGGCAAAATCTCCTTCTGGTTCTCCACCGTCGGGGACACCTAGCTCGCCGTCTCCGTCGTCTGGGACGCCTATTTTGCCATCTCCGCCTTCGGGAACACCCAGCTCGCCGTCTCCTTCTGGGTCTCATGCTCCGGTACCATCAGGTTCTCATTCTCCTGGTTCGCCGTATCCTGGAGCGAAATCTCCTTCTGGTTCTCCGCCGTCGGGGACACCTAGCTCGCCGTCTCCGTCGTCAGGGACACCTATTTTGCCATCTCCACCTTCGGGAACACCCAGTTCGCCGTCTCCGTCTGGGTCTGAAACTCCGGTGACCACGCCAGTGCCGGCCGGTTCCCCCACTTCTCCGTTGCCGGGAACGCCCACTTCGCCTTCTCCATCCGGGTCTGGAACTCCAGTGACCACACCAACCCCGGCCGGATCTCCTTCATCAAGTCCGGGAACACCCACTTCGCCGTCTCCATCTGGGTCCGCCGGTTCTCCCACTTCACCTTACCCTGGAGCAAGCTCTCCGTCAGGGTCACACATTTCGCCGTCTCCTTCCGGTTCCGAAACACCGATAACATCACCAGTCCCGGCCGGTTCTCCCACTTCCACAATACCCGGAGCAACCTCTCCGTCAGGATCACCGCTCCCCGGCTCATCTCCAGCAGGATCACCATCATCAGAATCCAATTCCCCCTCCACTTCGCCATCTCCAGCCGACGCCATCACGCCCACAACAGCTCCGGTACCGGCATTTTCACCAAGTTCATCCTCTCCGATTATATCCCCAGCATTATCGCCGTCGACCGAAGGGCCAATTGGTCTACTCCCACCTGAGTCCAGCGATGCACCCATAAATTCCCCGCCGTCTCCACCATTATCTCCGTCGTCTTCCTCAGGAGAAGCACCATCACCAAGAGGCTCTGCAAACGACACAACACCGTCAACACCACGATCGTCCGCCATAGCTTCAACTCCATCGGTAATTTTGTTGGGTTCCATTACAATTGTGTTAAGCATGATCATCAATGGAGGATCTCTTATGAATTTCACTTGAGAAGAAGAACGAACATAAATCTCATTTTTAATAATTAGAGTTTTGTGAATAAAATTGAGAGAAATTTCTCCAATAATATTGTTCTTCTATTTTCCCCCTTTCATTTCCTTCGTGTTTGTAAAATTCCCAGTGATTTTATTATATGGTTTGAGATTTATTTTATTTGTTGTTTTTTCCTTCATTTTCTTTTTATTTAATCATTATTCTTTTATTTAATCATTATTCTTCTAAAATAATTTAATTAAATAATTTGATCGTAAAAAAATTTTAAGCTAGTTGGGTTGATGATACAAGTAGCCCCAATAGAGTTAACAATCTCCGTTTGTTGGATTATTTTTTTAAATATATTTATCTACAGTGCATAATTCAAATATTAAACATTTATAAGTTACTATACATCACTAACATTAGTTACAAATGTTAAATATTTTTTTAATTTTAAAAAAACGAAACATTAGTTACAAATATTAAATATTTTAAATTTTTAAAAAATGAGCATTTACAACCCAATCCAACTTCCTATTTTCAGGTTGGGTTGTCCGGGTTTCATATTTATCTATAATGATGTTACATTAATAACTAAACTTTCATTAAGTTCAAATATCAAATATTTACAAGTCGCAACGCATCATTAACACCAGTTACAAACATTAAACATTCTTAATCATTTTAAAAGAATGGTTGGATTGTAACGCTATTTTCAGGACAATTAAGTTGACTCGACCAAGAAAATGTAACCCACATCGAAAAAAAACCTAACCATGAGTAATCAAAATTGGTCGAGGCCTAAATTTTATAATATAAAGTCATTATTACAACACTTCTTAAATTGGGCAAGTGGTTGCCAAATTGAATGAGAGTGAAAGGACTTGAGCTACCATACAAAAATACAATTAATTCAGTCAACTTTTTTTTAGTCCTTTTTTTTCTCACAATATTATTATTGCTGACTAAAAAGTAAGTGCTCAATTCAATATCATCTTCCCTACTAAGTTTTTTCTACACTTTTTTTTTTCCATTTTTCCGCTTACGACCCATCCACCGACCTTTAAACAGTAACTGATGTCTTATTCATTAGCTCGAGAAATATTTCCAATAATACTGTTAGATTTTTTCCGCCGTGACCCAAAATGATACCATTAACCTTAAAAGCTGAAATACCAGCCTTATTGCAACGCCCGTTACAAATATAACGAATCTTGAAGTACATAGCTAATAATAGGGCGTTTTCGTCAAAATAACATATATTTTGCACAATTACTTTTTAAAGAAAGAATATATTTTCAAGACATTTAAAAAAGAAAGCATATTATATAGAATTAGATTCTACTTAGCTTATGAAGTAAGGATATTATATGCTAAATATATAACTTTGTCATTAAAAAATATTCATTTATTAAAATAAAAAAAGAAGTTAAATTTATGAAAAGATTTGTGACTTTTATTTAAATAAATAAAAAATAAATTTATAACTAATAATTAATTAGTGCAACTTTCCTAGGTTTGGGTTAAGTAATATTATAAATAATAAATTATAGTTATTTTTAATTTCGTTTTAAATTAATAAATTAGTTTTTTTTTTTTTAATTAAAGAGTTCTGACGTGGCAATAAGATTTTTCTGGAAGGGTATATCAAGGGAAGGCCATGTACACGTGGACTTTTTAATTAAAGGCAGGTGCAGACGTGGGAGTATGATTGGGGGAGGTGGGCCCAGTGGGGAACAGTCCAATCAGGCCGACAACCGTAATCTAGAGTAAAAGAAACGCGGAGAAGGATATCGGGAGTGTTGTACACGTGTCACATTCGGTGACGTGACATATCAAAATCTACTGGTTTTTATTTCGTAACCGTTGTGTCGGCAGCCACGTATGCGTCTCTTCCATTTATTATATTTGTCCTTTCCAATATATAGTAAGTATTAGTCTTATTCTCTCCAATAATAATTTAGTGATATTATTATAAATTTCATATAAAAAAATATTAATTTTGTAATTTACGAAAATATTTGGTCAATAAAATATATTTTTTATGATAATGATTAAATGGTTACGGTATTTATAGACTAAATTGTTACATATTAAAAATAATCTCTAATACTATTTATTATACACTCGAGACTGTTAGACGAACATGACTCTCTATAATGATATGATATTGTCCACTTTGAGCATAAAGTTTCATGACTTTGCTTTATGTTTCCCCAAAAGACCTCATACCAATAGAGATAGTATTCTTTGATTATAAACTCATGATAAATCCCTAAATTATCCGATGTGGGACTTTCATCATCCAATACCTCACCTCGAACAAACTACGCCTCCTTTTCTTTTGGGGTCTTAATCAATTTTTACTTTGCCTTCGAGGAGGCTCGACTCCTTTTCTTTTGAGTCTTTTGTTCGACATTTGAGGATTTACCAATCTATTGACATGACTAAGTTTAGAGCATAACTACTATGTTAGACGAACACGACAAGTTTAGGGCATGACTCTTATACTATGTTAGACGAACACGCCTCTCCACAATTGTATGATATTATCTATTTTGAGCTTAAGCTCTCATGCTTTATTTTGCGCTTCCCCAAAACGTCTCATACCAATGGAGATAGTATTTTTTTATTATAAACTATGATCATTCCCTATATGGGACTTTATCATCTAACAGACTACACTAAAATTATAAAAATTAAATTTGTAATTTAATCCTAGGTAGAAATTCATTACTTAACCCTAATTTTATTTTATTTCTCAATCTCTAAAACGACGATCTCACCGATGATCATTTATTTTTTATTTTTTATTTTTTATTTCTAAAAATAAATTTCTTGAGAAAATAATTAAATTCATAATCAAATTCTAAAAATAAAAACTACCCGACAACAAAATAAAGACATTACAAATATATATATATAGTCAAGAGTGCTTAATTAATACACCAAAAAGTTTCACAAGCAACACGACATTTACTGAAAACCCCATTTATCTGTAAATTACACAAATTAGTTGCATTTTTAATTATTATTTTCATAATTTAACAGTTAAAAGATAGGTAAATAATTCAGCATATTTAATCATATTAAGCTTGAATTTTAACCCTATGTTTTCATTAACAGCACATAAGAAAGAATCATCTTAAAAGTACCTAACTCATAAAAAATAAGAGGTTCTAGTGGGCAATCTTAAGAGTACAAAAACCACACTAGCCTCTTCTCTCTTAACTTTCTTTACTCTTCGTTTCTTATTTTCCGGGGGCCGGGGCGGGGGCGGGGACACTAGTCGAGTGCACTTTCCAGCTGCGTTAAGCGAAAAAAAAGAGGCAAGGTACCTTAAGAAAGAACGTCGCCATGAATCTTGTCTTTCAGAGCTAGCTTAGGATACACCAGATGCGCTTTGACGTGAAAAGATGGCACGATGTCAAAAGAACCAAAATCGTCGCCTTTGATTTCTCTGAAACAATTTTAACATGTTAAATGAAATCCTTGTAGTGCCGTGAGGAGATGAATCTGTGCTTTGTTAGTACGTGTGTGCACTGTGCATCATAGAGAGCAACAGCAGCTCTCAAACAGATGTTTTTCTTAAAGAGATTGAGTTTAATTCATAATTATAAACAAGAACTAAACCAAGGGAGATTCAAGAGTTCCCTACACCTCCCTTAGTCCCTGATTCAGTACAAGACCAAAACTGCAGCCTCTCCGTCACACCGACTATCTATTATACACTTCCCTTCCCGGCTCGGGACACACCCGTGCTATAACTAACTAGTTAACATTGAAAGAATATACAAATGCTTATAATGGCAACTTATGTTATCCCGAACTAAAGTGAATAGAATATTTGAAGCACTAAAAGAGAGGTAAAGGGATAAAATCAAGAAGAGGAAAATGTAATGGTTGAAAAATAAAGGGTATAACCTTCGGATCCGGGTTCTGTGGTTTCAACAGAATGGGTGCCGTGAGGACATTGCTGTTGACACTCTTTAAGTAAGGCTGCACCTTTTCCTCCAACAACTCATTCAACTGACGTTAAATCGATAACAATAGTAAATTCACGGTAGGTAGATCGACGGTTAAAAGCAAGAAGTACAGAAAACAAACAGTCTAATAATGCAAATAATGGGTAAAAATTAGAGACAAATAAGTTCTGTCATCAAACATGTGCATATGTATCAGTTATCACTATGAACTTCATCCATTGCTCCTTTCTTAGGTTTCTTACTCAAATACTCGTATAGATATATAAATGAAGCAACATTACTTCATGATTAGGTCCAGAAGAAGCCAAATCAAGAAATTGTTTCTTAGAAAACCAGTTACTCATTCCATAAGAAGACACAGAGGTTGAGTAGTCAAACCTTTTCCTGCCGCCATTTAGTTTCCCACTGAGCATCCAATATTTTATCAGCAATTTCTCTTTGGGCATTTAGAAGAACAGTCATTTCATAAAATTTTCCCGGGTCTTTTAGATCATCCTGACTCCAAGAAGAGGAATTCAGTGGAAGGTCCAACTCCTGCATATTAACCACAGTCAGCATAATGGCAAAAGCCATAGCCAATAAAGAGAGCATCTCCTTATCCTCTAAATTTCTGATGCCTACGTAGGTAGTGGATCCTTAAAATGCATTACTTAATCATCTAACCAACTATATTGCAATAGCTATATACATAAAAACAAAAGATGGTGTTATATGCCAATGCCAAAGAGTAGGAAGGAAGCGAGACATTGTTTCAAAACCAGGTCTTAATAAAACCTTGAGATATTCGGCTTTCAAGGCCTCCACTATCTTGAAGAGAGAAAATAGATAACTCATCAACTAATGCAAAGAATTATGACTGTAAGATTGAAAATGTAACAAAATGGTTTTTTTTTTTTTTTTTTTTTTTTTTTTTTTTTTTTTTTTTTTTTTT